GGGGACAACCTTGGGTGGAACACGGATTGGCATGTGATGAGACGAGCGAGGAGTGAGTTGCGTGGCGTGTTGAGGTTGCCCTGTGGGGCTATATGTGTATGGTGTGTATGTGTGTAAGGATCTATCGAATGTAACCGAACCTCGACGACGAGACGAGCTGCTCTCTCTCTCTCTAATATTATCCGCTCCTTCTCCTCTACCTACCCTGCCTCCTCCCTCCTCCTTCCCCAGACCTGATCCAGCTACTAGAGGTAGGTTACATACGACTTGTTCGTGTTTGATGGCCAAGATGCCACCCTGCCGCACTCAACGCCCCTGGAGATGACGGTTGTTTTGCGATACAGAAGTACCGACGGAATACACCAATATGTTTTTAATTGGTTTGACAAACAAAATGTTTTTTAGTCATAATATGGGAGGGAGGAGCCAACCCCCCTACCCCATGTCTTGAAGGGGCTTCTCAGATGCATAAGTAAGGTGTTGGCATAGGGCCTGAATCGTATTGACGCCAACATGGTCAAACCTGGGTGGAACCTTGGTCCGAAAATCTCTTGACAGTCACCAGTGAATGACAGCCCCTGGAGCCCGACAACTTCTATACCTACTAATAAAAGAAAATAAGTATTCTTAATGTGTTTTGCTATTTTATAGAAAACCTCCTAATGTTTCTAACATTAAACCGCAGTACATATTAAATGTTTCTTAAAATACTCATATCTTCTAGACCGTAACTCCAAATTTAACATGTTATATATGGAATTTGATTAGAAAAATATGTAGAATCCGAATATGATGTTATTTTACCTATTAACAATTTTTAAAAAAATACTATATAGGATACAATGTTAATCAACAATGCATTATCCGTCTTTTCTTCATACCGGTAATTCAGATTGGGGATGAACACCTCAAAAAAATCAGGATTGGACATGAAATTGAAGATAAATTTTTTAGAGACACCCAATAAATAAGGACATGGATGACAAGAAATAAAAGAAGGACCCACTAAAGAATGGATGTCCGCTATAAAAAAATAAAAGAGAAAATGCAGAGGAGATCCGATAAAGATGAGATGTTGTGCTATTCTCCTGTAATAAGAAGAAAAAAGAGAGGGCAAGCATGAAAAAAGTAAAAACGAGGCATGCATGAAAAAAAAGATAATTTTGATAAGATATAAATAGTGATGAAACATGGACCAATACCTATGACATGTATGTCAAGAAATAGTGATGAAAGAGGGGCGCAAGTACATGCGTCCACAAGAGTCCATACAAAAATGTTCTTTTCCAGACCAAAAAATTCTCTTTTTATGATTAAAAATCATGTATCTTTTTAACAACTCTTCATGTATTTAAGAAATATGCATGTGAAAAAAGTGTTCAAGAGTTACCCTAAGTTGGTGATTCTTAGACTGAAAACTGCCATTGATGCACACACGTTTCCGTAGTGTGCTAATGTATCATTGTTTGCTTTCGTCATTTTTCTTTACTCCTCCGTAACAACACCCCCATTCCGAACATGATATGAATAAATGCATGAGTGTGTCGGACCGGATTGTGCCTTGGGCCCGGTATGTGGCTCGGTCAGGGCCTTCGGCTTTAGATGTTAGGCTTAGGTGGGTGGTCTGGGTATTTGGCCCAGCTTGCACCCCCTTCATCATTTGGATAGGAGTAGCGGCAGATGTTGTCAAGATGGCGGATTCAGACATATTGTTGTACTACTTTGTAAGGTCCTCGAGAATAATCAATAAAATGGCCGTATGCATCTCCCAGATGCAGAGGCCGGGGGTCATCCTCCTTTTCTAAAAAAAACCCTACATGCAAGCCGTGTTGAAATAGAACACCTGTAGAATCTTAAACTGCGCTTTTATAGGTTCAGACCAACTTTGTTTTGGCCGTAGCTACAAATTCTCAGATTATAGAATTTTTTTTATAAATTAAGAGTGTACGGTATTTTGTTCTTCCCCTTGCAACGCACGAGCGTTCGAACCCGCACCTCTTTTGCTACGAACGCTCAGCGCTAACCACCAGGACATCACCACGCTAGTGTTAAAATACTTCATTTTCCTTTTCATATTTCGTTTTTCAATTCCTTTTATTCCTTTTGCTATTTTTTTTATTTTTTCCATGCGCCGTTTCGTAAATTTCGTTAACCTTTTCCCTAAATTTATGAACTTTTTTCAGAATTGATGACCTTTTTAAAAATTAGATGATTTCTTTTCCAATTATGGTGAACTTTTTTCTAGTTCGATTAACTTTTTTTGATTTTGATGAACTTTTTTCAAATTCAATGACCTCTTTCAAATTTGATGAACTTTTTTTAAATTGGATGAATTTTTTCAAATTTGTGAACTTTTTCCCATATTGTTGAACTTTTTTTCTAAATGTGAACTTTTTCAGAAATGGTGATGTTGTTTCAAAATCGATGAACTTTGTTTAGATGTTGTGAATTTTTTTGAAAATCGATGAACTTTTTCGGAAATTGATGAACTTTTTTCAGATTTTGTGAACCTTTTCGAAAATCAATGATTTTTTCCAGATTTTGTGAACTTTTAAAAAAAAATTGATGATAATTTTTGTTTTTCAAAATCGATGAACTATATTTTTGGCCCAATTCAAATTTAGTTCACTCAATGCAAAATTTGATCACCTAATTCAAATTTATTTACCTAATTTAAATTTAGTTAATAAAGTTCAATTTGTTCACCCAATCCAAAATTAATTCACACATCTCAAGTTTAGTTCACAAAAAAATTGGTCGCCTAATTTAATTCTAGTTTTCAAATTTCAAAATTTGTTCACCCAATTCAAAATATCTTCATCTAATTCTATTTTAGTTCAAAAAACAAATATTAGTTCACCTAATGTAATTATACTTCACGCATTTCAAAATTTGTTCACCTAGTTCTATTTTAGTTCATAAAGTTTAAAATTTGTTCACCTAATTCAAATTTAGTTCAGCTAATTCGGTTCTAGAACTCACAATTCAAAATTTGTTCACCCAATTCAAATTTAGTTCACACAATTTTTTTTCACCTAATTCAATTCTAGTTCATCCCATTCAAAATTTGATCACCTAATTAATTTTTTGTTCATCTAATTCTATTTTAGTTCACCAGATTCATTTCTAATGCACACAACTCAAATTTTGGTTCACCTAATTCGTATTTGGTATTTGGTTGCCTATAATGCCTTTTTTTCCAATTGTGTGTTTCTCGAGGACCGGTTTTCTTGTATAATTCTTAGCACCAATTTACAGAGTTTACAGAAAAACAATTAGTCTTTATTAGTACTACTTGTATAATTCTTAGCATCAATCTAGAACTGTACGAACCTGTGTTAGAAACTGTTTTTCTTTCTCTAGCAGCGACATAGAAACAGTTTTTTTTTTATTTTTCTGAGGAACGGCATAAAAACAGTAGTACGATCTCTTTTTTTTTAGAGAAAACAGTAGTAAGTACGATCTAACTAGCGATCGAACGCTAGAAACAGTCTAGCGATATGTTATTGGGCTTCATAGATACAGTCCACAACAAAACGTAGTAGGCGCCACAACTACGAACTGGCGCAGAAGGCGCCATCGAGGAGGTCTCCCGTTCTTGGGGCGGAGAGGTAGAGATTATTAATGCAGTGTGCGACGGTGGTGAGCACCCAACACGTGGGCCCCATGAGATCGACTAGGATCCAGTTTGCCAGCGGCAAGCTTAACTGCTATGGTCGAAGAAGCGGGTGGCCGCTGATTGCACAACTAGCGGTCTCGACCACAACATAGTCCAAGTCGGCCATGAAGGCCAGGTACCTCAGCCGGCCACTACTGTGTCTAGTTCTTAGCGCTAACAGAATCATTTTATTGGAAAGAAACTAAACAGATGCATGTTAGAGTCGTATTTGGAGGGGAATAAGGGATTATGCTCCCTCAATTTATTCTTACATTTTTTTAAGCTAGAGATCATTTTTCCTAAAAATTTAAGGATTGCTCACTAGTCACTACCCCTGCCGTGTGGTTGTGATGAATAAATTAATTAGTTTGCATCCCACGCTAACCCACCGACCTAATCAGTCGAGCTGACTGTGCCAAGAATTAAATAAACTATTAATAATAAATTAATTTTCTGACCGAATGATTTGAACCAGTCCTCAGGTGCATAATGGCAGTTGCACTATTTATTTGAAGGTAGCAACATGGTTTGTTCTTGGATAAAACACAACACTTGCACGATACATTTTATTAATGATGTGTGGTACAATTAGTTGCATCACTGAACAAAGAACCCCCATCAACTATTAATCGAGGAAGGGGTAGTCAGTGTAGCCGATGACGGGGTCAGAGATGTAGAAGGTCATCCTATCATACTTGTTCAGCTCTGCGCCGATCTCAAACCTCTTTGGCAGGTCTGGATTCGCCAAGAACGATCGCCCGAAGGAGACCAAATCAGTGTACCCATCAGCGACCACCTTGCCCCCTTCCTCGCGGTCGTACCCGCCATTGGCCATAAATGTACCCTTGAACGCCTCCCTGTATGGCAGCAAGCGCTTCGGGACCACCCTTCGTCCATCAACGATGGCCATCCTCGGCTCGACCATGTGGAGATAGATGATGTTGTAGTTGTTGAGTTTGGTGGACATGTGGAGCGCGAGGGCGTGCGGGTCAGAGTCGTGGCAGTCCATGTAGTCGGTGAAGGGGGAGAGGCGGATGCCCACACGGTGGCCACCGACCTCCTTCACGACGGCATCCACCACCTCGAGAGCAAAGTGACACCGGTTCTCGATGCTGCCACCATACTCGTCGGTGCGGTCATTCGCACTGTCCTTGAGGAACTGCTCAATTAGGTACCCATTCGCCCCGTGGATCTCCACACCGTCAAAACCTGCCACGCCATTGACATTAGATTGAGCAATACATGTATACACTGGGAATTGTGTATTCGTATTTTTTTCCAAAGAGTAGTTGTTTAAGAAAGAGAAGTTTGACCAGTCATTTTTAAGAAAATCGTGCATATCAACAGCGTACCAGCGTCGATGGCGTTCCTGGCCGCCTTCCTGAAGTCGTCGACGATGGCCGGTATCTCCTCCACCTTGAGCCTCCTCGGCGGCGCGAACTCCTCCAGCCTCCCGTCATAGCTCATTTGCGGGCCCACCCCCTTGTCCGTGCACGACAGCGGCGCGGCACCGCCGGGCTGGTACTCATAGGTGGACACGCGGCCGACGTGCCAGATCTGGCAGAAGATGAGCGCGCCCTTGGCGTGCACTGCATCGACAATTGGCTTCCATGCCTCGACGTGCTCCGCCGTCCAGACGCCCGGTGTATCGCGGTACCCCTGGGCCGTGTCGGAGACCCCGGTGGCCTCGGTGATGAGCAACCCGCCGGCGGAGGCGCGCTGGGAGTAGTACAAGGCGGCGTGCGGCTGCGGCACGTTGCCGTAGGAGCGCTGGCGGGTGAGCGGGGCCAGGACGATCCGGTGGGCGAGGTTGAGCTGGCCCATCTTGTACGGCGTCAGGAGAGGGATGGGCTCCATTGTTGAAGGGCTGAAGTTCTCTCTTGGGCTCCCGAAGGTTGATCAATGACAGCAGCTGCTAGCTAGCTTGTGTGATATGCAGAACGAGGAGGAAGAAGAAGATGCCCAGTGAGTGGAGTGGAGTCGATGGGCCTGGACATCCATTTTATAGACATTTTTTCCTCGCATGCAATGACGTGATATGATACGTACTACTCCATATGATATTGTTATAGTGACATTATTGCTAATATTAAAGTACGTGAGGAACATGGGAGGCATCCGGCTGCCGCTTTAGCCGCCTTCATCGATCAGTCACACACATCATAGGTGAGCTAAGCAGCATGGAACAGAAAGGCATCATAATATATTTTACGAATTATGTGTCACCGACGATGCAACAATTTGAACGACCACGTGTCACACCGACGCATCAAGGTCTGCTTTTTGCCTCCTGCTAGAGAGGGACAGCAGCGATGTATTATAAGGGCATGTACAATGGAGGCATCGCCCTGGTGCTGCCTCAGCTCTTAAACTAATCAAAAAATAATGAAGCCATCATTTTGAAAAAATTCTGTCCAACGTAGGCCACACTATGTAGCGAAGCATTGTTTAATTTCTGTTCTCTCTATCCCTCTCTTGCATGCATCAGCGCAGCATGCCTTTTCTTCCTTTCTTCACTTTTCACGTATGAGGAAGCTGGCTCTTCTGCAAACTACACTTGCTACTGCGGGGCTATACCTTTTAGTCCGAACCTATTCCGAACCAACGTGTACCTGCGGGGCAGCAGGCTGAGGCTACCCATTGGGCAATGCCCTAAGGGCATGTACAATGGAGGCATCACCCTCATGTTGCCTCAGCTATTTATCTAATCAAAAAGTAATAGAGCCACCCTTTGTGAAAAATTCTAGCCAACGCAGGCTACACTCGGTAGGGGACCAATCTCCCTTTACATGTATGTTGTTTTCTTTCCCCTCTCTTCTTCTTTCTTGCATGCATCAGCCTACCTTCTTCTTTCTTGCTTTCTATCAGCTTTTACGGCTAAGGGCATGTACAATGGTAGCATCACCTTATAGATGCTCCATACTCCACATAGATAAAGCAAACACAGCCATGGTCATTCCACAATGGAAGCAGCACGCATCCCTTTTTCTTTGTTGGGCCCACATTCAATCTTTCCTGTCCCACGTCCTCTCTTTACCTCCTTTCTTTTTCACCTTGGCCAGCTGCTTTTCATCGAGGAGACCGGTTTCTCTGCAAGATCCCGTCTCTCTCTACAAGCGGTAGCCTTTTTCTAATCCAGGGAATCTAGGCTGATGTGAAGTCTAGAGCACTAGTCCAGCGTGGCCCGTTGGCCATGCCCTAAGAGGCCGGCTCTTCTGCAGGCTACACCATCTCCTGCGAGGCTGTTGCTTTTAGTCCGAACCAAGCTTCGAACCTACATGGACCTGCGGAGCACTAGGTTGAAGCTACCCATTGGCCATGCCCTAAGAGCAACTCTAGCAAATGCCATAAAAGTAACCAAAACTTTAAATTTACAATATAGGTTGAAAAACCCGCACCGATTAGATCCATAAAAAAGCAGACCCCGGAAAAAAAATTGCAGGTCGTGGTCATTGTATATTGTCACCCACGTATCTCATATCTGTAGTTTTCGAGGCGATTTTGAGGTGCACCGTAAACGAGTCAATGCCAGAGCAGGCGGCCTGGAGCTCGGCAGCTACCGCCGAAGCGTCGCTGTATCAAGCGGAGGAGTTCGAGCGTCGTTGTATCGAGCGGAGGAGCTCCGCAGCGGTCGCCGGAGGCCCGGAGCGTCGACGGAGTAGGCAGACGGCCGGAGCGTTGTGGAGCAGGAGGAGGAGCTCGCAAGCGATCGCCAGAGCGTTGCCAGAGTAGGCAGATGGCCGGAGGGGAGCCGCAGCAGCGCTGGACGCGAAGAACGTACAAGGGATTCTTTTTTTTTTTTTGCAGTACAATTTTACGGTACCTGTTCTGACAGAGCCAATTTGGTACCGCAAAAGCAGTTTATTGTGTCTCATAAACTGATTTTACAATATACGACATCTGCTAGAGTTGTTGCCTCCATTGCCTCGTGGCTTCTTCTGGTTTGGGACGATGGTGTCTACTGTTGTCAAAGAAAAACACAGTTATTTTTGCAGTCAAGTTTATAGTAAGTAACCTGAGTCAGTGCTTCAGCCACAGCAAGAAACTCATAAATTGCCTACTTTTTTGGCATAAGTGGAATGTAATTTATTGGATACTCAGCTGACATAGTACGATCGAAAATGTACACGGCAAATGCAGGACCCTTGGCTTAGACAACGGTACGCCAGTACATGTAAGAAAAAAACTCTTGCCGTAAACTGAAATCTCGGCATATTCCACGAAAAACACCCAGCTTACAAATGAGCGTCAGCAAAGCAACTGCCATGTGGATATTCTCACTGCACTTGGCTCGTGTCAACTCCAACTGCTCCCTTTCCTTTTTTTTAAAGCCAAACCCTTCGTCTCCTCTGTAAGCCGAGTGACCAACATAAATGGGTCGACTTCTATTTGGACAAATAGTATGCCCGTGCGTTGCCACAGGCTTCTGAAATATTTTACTGAAGGTATATAAAATAATCCATGTAAAACATCACAGGAAGAGACAATATAATATGGACACGATTGCATAATAATTGAAGTATACTTCACTTGTAATGTAAACTGATAACATAAAGGCAAATTGACGATGTATACACGTAAATCTGGCATGAGACCCTCAGTTGGGTTCGCTCCACGGCCGACATCCCGGACAACGACACTGCCTTCTACACTTGATGGGAGACGTCCTGCAACCGCTCACCTTCCTCGGCTCGCACGAGCATGGCCTCCTTGATTATCCTTACCGCGTGGTGGATCTGAAAACACCGGAACGCTTGCATATTTGATGGCGAGCAGCCATCCACCTCCCGGCTCTCCGACATTATCAGAGATGAGGCGCGCATGTGGGCCAAGGCTGGCGCCCTCGGACTGCACAACATCATCCCCGAGAGATAGCATTGTAGGCTAGTGGGGTTGAGCACCCCCAAGTTTGTTCTGCTCCTAGTTCACTTCCATGCCCTCGTGCGTACATGGCTTAGTGAACTTTTGTAATCCCATGCTGTAAAACTTTTCTTCTATCAATGCAAAGATACACATCCTCTGTGTATTCGCGAAAAAAACACGTAAATCGATGATCCAACTAAAATACATTACAAATTATTAAATTCTACTTGATGCGCTTAAGAAATTCTCGCACAATACTAAGAAAGTTTTTTTCTTCATTCGCACGATGTTGGAGCAAGTATAATAAAAACTACTTTCTCAACTCATACTCATCATGCAAAAACAATACTAGAACGCACGTGCGTTGCTACGGACTGCTACGAGCAACAATGCATATAAATGAATCAGAGAAACAATTAAAGTCGTATTCAACGTCTAAGTTTTTTTTTTCTCATACGTCCGAATGTGTTCGGACATCAAACGGGCTACTACAACTGTCTTGATAGTCCCGGTGCCCCAAATCCGGCCCATATGTGAGAAAGAAATGTTGCTATCCAAACTATTCGTGATGTTATCTCCAACATGTGGAACCAACGCAAAACCCCACCACCACGACACACCCTCTCCTTTTCTCGTCCGACCCTCCCCTTCCCCCTCTGTTTCCCGCCGTAGTGGGTGACGTCCGCCTCACTTTCACCATGACACCCTCTCTCCTTCACACGATACTTCCTCATAGACCGTTAAGGAGGAGTCCCCCATAATGCCCGCCCCACCCTCCGCCATGATCCCCTCCCCCGTGTTGTGTGTTTTCACCACTGCCATCAAGAGGGAGGAGGTATTGCGCTACCTGTGGCACCCCCAAAGCCAAGAATGCAAATTTGTAAGTAAACATACCAAACCCAACCTCCGTCCCGCTCACTCTATCACAAAATCCATCAACTTGTATTTTAAGTGAGTCGGTGATCAACATCGCTATGGCCGGCCAGCAGCAAGGGATAAGGGCTCATTCTTATCACAAAATCCATCAACTTGTATTTTAAGTGAGCCGATGATCAACATCGCCGTGGCCGACCAACAGCAAGGGATAAGGGAGGCAACCACCTTCCCATCTTAGTGCTAGTACCTCCTGGTTCTATACTGGACCCACTCTTCATCCCGGGCTCTACAATGACAGCTCCACGCTCATGTGTTCTCATGGAAAAAGAAAGATATGCATAAAAATGTTCGTCCAGAGCATGAAAAATGTCAATGGTTCTCTCCTCTTCCCTCCTTGCGTGCACATGCCTAATTCAATCAGATATTAGTGAATAAATCAAATATATAATTAAACGACATGTCTGAAGCACACACACACACAACACACAACACAACACACACAACACACACACACACACAATATGGTAATACTACTCATAACCCAGGGTGGAGTATAAGTTATTCTTCACCCGAGGTAATATTACAATCGGTTCATAAATAAATTTCATTTTGTTTACAAAGGAAGCACATTAGTAGTCTTTTTAGGGATACATGAGTATTTATTCCTAGTAATAGCAATTGGCAATTTAGCATAGTACAACCATAATCTTGGAGCCGTCTATCATTTCGATAATAGTTATTTGCTATAGATGCAATTATGATGATTGTGTTAAGAATTTGCACAGAGCAACCCTTTTACAAACTGAACAAAATAACAAGTCAATCCCGTCCACACTGCAATTGATTCATGCATTAAGGAACGTCACACAAATTAAATAGGAATCCAAACTAAAAACAAGGGACGACAACATGGATACTATGTTATTCGTTTCCATGTGGATAGCAACCATACTCACCGGGATGCATGAAACATTCCTATTCTTTACAACTTTATAAAAAGCTAAATTTAATCCAAAAATAATTATGAAGAGAGGCTAGTGAGTAAAACTAAGTCATGACTAAACTATTGAAGGGATAAAATGATTGTTTTTTTTCAAAGATGAATAACCCAGTATAAT